CCCTCTTCCCCAAAATCTAGGTTTTGAAGACAGTGTAGTCAAAATTTAGCCGGGCACAGCGGCGGGCGCCTATACTACAGACAAGTATTAAACTTTTCTCTTCTCCTATCTCTTCAATGTAGAGAGTTGATATTTGGTACCTGTATTTCATATTCCCAGTTATTCTAGGTAATCCATGTACATTTGACCATATATTAAATATACTACAGGTTTATTTGCTAGCCATTATTTTCTCTCCTCTTTTTTTCTGACTCCTATCTTGAAAACTCTCTGTTCTGACAGATTTGCTGCTTGGTTAACAGCCCTTTCTGTAAGATTCTTCCCAAGTGTGGTAGCATGTCCACATATCTTCCCTTCATCTTGTCAATAAATAACTATCTTGGCTGAGTCCCTTTCCATCAGTAACGTACAGATGTTATTCCACTGCCTTCTAGTTTCTGGCATTGAAGATAAAAGAGTCTGCAATCTTTTTCCTTTGTAAGTAACATATATTCTGCCTGAAGGCTTGGAAGATTTTTTTATCCTTGAAATTCTGAAGTTCTCCCAGATGTCTTTCTCCCCCTCATAAATTCAGCCTCAAATCTGGTCAATCTTTTAGTCTACATCCATATCGGTCTTTCTTCTGCTCAAGGGAATTGTTTCCTATTAGTCATTCAATTATTGTTTCTCCTCTATTTGTTCTCTTTCCAGACGTCCTTCTGGGACTTCTGATATTTGCATGTGAAGTTCCCTGCATGTGTCCTCTAAGCCTCTCTCCATTTTCTTCAGGGTGTTTTTGCTCTTCTGAGATATTTCTTGCAGTAGACTATCCAAGCTGCTTACTCAGGTGTTACTCAACATCCAACCCTTCAACTACTATATACATATATGTATTTTATTTGTTTTTTGTTTGTTTGTTTGTTTGTTTGTTTTTTGAGACGGAATCTCGCTCTGTCGCCCAGACTGGAGTGCAGTGGCGCCATCTCGACTTACTGCAAGCTCCGCCTCCCGGGCTCACGCCATTCTCCTGCCTCAGCCTCCCGAGTAGCTGGGACTACAGGTGCCCGACACCATGCCCGGCTAATTTTTTGTGTTTTTAGTAGAGACGGGGTGTCACCGTGTTAGCCAGGATGGTCTCGATCTCCTGACCTTGTGATCCAC